TTTATTTATATATTTTAACAATTTAAAAAAGTAGATCAAAGCTAAAAAAATGCAAAAATGCAGGCAAATTTGCCTGTATTGGCCTACAATTTAAGGGATAGCAACAACATTCTTTCGATCAGTTGAGATAGGATATTTGTAACTATAGTTATACTAGCATAACTGGCAGATCTAAGCATTTGTGTAATCTGTTATACAAAGAAATACAAACCAGTACTAGGTAATATAAATCTAAAATAAGTCTTTAAGCTATATAAATCTATAAAACTAAAAAACCAGAACTTATTTGAAAATTCTGAGCAGAAAAGTAATACAGATCTTCAATGATATTACTATAAAGGCTAAATCTAGAAAATAGATACCAATGTGAAAGAATCAGGCAGGCAAGAACCTCAAGTAAGGGTACTACCAATCAGGTCACCAGATTTCAGACTGGAGGAAAAAGATATTAGGTTAGCTTTAATATACCAAAAACAGGTTATAATCCTTCTAAGCTATTTGAATTAGAAGTCTAAGTTCAAAGCAGAGATATACTAAAAGTACTAGAGATATACTGTGAAGTTAGTGCCAAGGTTTAGATAAACTCTGTAAAGATAATCTTTGTTAATATTTTAAAAGTAAGTAGATAGTTAACAATAAAGAGCCTTCTGCATCTTAATGACAAGTGATATTTTCTAAAATATATAATGATCTGAAAACTAGTACAAAAGAGTAGGTACCATATTGCTCAAATGATATACTGGTTATATATAGGAGGTTAGTTAGGATTACATTATGATAAAACAGATAATTAGAAGGTTTAAATGAATAATTTCCTAATAGGTTATAAATACAACATCTAGAGTAGAACCTTAGAATGGACTACTTAAATAGGCAACCAAAAGTTGCATATATGACTAGTTGTACTCTCATTTTTGTAAAAATAGTTGTAATAACTAACCCAATAAAAGTCAATAAAGTATTGTCACAAAGTATAACCTTTAAAAAAAAAAAAAAAAAAATCTAAATCTTTATTTAAGATACCAAATTGCATTGGAATTTAAATTTGTAAGCCATTGTTGTACTGAAGAGAATGTATTTGAAATGACTTCCTACTATAAAAACTTTGTTAATTCTCTTTCACTTTCTTAAATTTAAAAATCATTACTTATTAAAGACCTAAAGAATGATTAGATATATAATAAATAGTAAATGCAATTTATTAATACTGATTATCTTCCTATTAGTTCTAATTTGCAAAATCCAATAACTACTAATAATTACACTAAAAAAATGAATTATACAATTGAATTACAGTTAACTGAAAAGCAAACAGTTGTTACATTTATTGAACAACTTTATGAAATAAAGATGTTACATAAAAATTTTTATCCTGAAGAAACAAATAAACACGTTTATAAAGCTGAATTAGATATGCTTCTTAATGCACAATCAATTGAACAGATAAATTAATAAAATAATGACTTATCTTTTTGGACTGTTAAATAGTTTTTTTTTATTAATATAAAATTTAATGACTATTGCTAATTTTCACCCTAGGTGATATCACCTAATTGTATAAAAAAACAAAGCGAAAAAAAAGAAAAAAAAACAAATAACTCAAAATTTTATTATAAAACCATGCTTTGACTTCTAAGCAAGAGTTTTCAACGTCAAATTTTACATATATCTAAACCCTTTAATTCAACCTAAAACAACCCTAACCATAAATTTATTTACTTGTAATGAAAATTTTATAATACCGGGTGATGTCACCTAAAGTGAAAATTAATTATCTTCTAAAAAATTTAAATTTTTTAAAAAGATGCAGATAAATTTGCCTGCAATACAATTTAAGAAATAAAAAAAAAATAATTAACGGATACGTCCGGAATTGCGTAAAACAATTCGATTTAACTAAAAAAATTTTTATTGTTGCATTATTTATGATCGTCAATGTATTCGCTTATGACGAAGTTACAAATTCAAATTACAGAATTTTAATTTGAAAAAGGTTAACTTATTCTTTTTTTTTATCAGTTTAATCGAATAATTTAAGTTGTTATGTAGAAGAAACATCAATTCCTCAAAAGTTCATACGTAGTAATTTTATGAATTTATAAATTTATATATGAAAAAATTTACATATGACAATAATGTAACAAATCGTGCAACTAGTAAACAATACATATTTATGCGTTTTTCTTGATAGGCGCAGTCAATTTCAATCTTATTGATGGTCTCTGCAGTTTTCTTGGCATCATGAACGTATTAGGTTTAACATCTCTAATGAATAAATAATTATAAATAAAGTGAACCGTAATAAAAATAAATACACAATTATTATTGCATAAATTTTAAATAACCTTTGGATAGATGATTCAGAATCGACAGCAGATTTATCATCTCCCGTTCGTACTGTTGCCGTCCTAAAAAACCGCAGATAAAGTTTGTCAATTATTGAAATTTAAAATACTACATTTAAAGATTATAAAATATACACTTACTTATTCTTTGTTACTTTTCTTTCTTTATTGTTAGGATCACCAAATGTGGATTTTTGGCTATTGCCCCGATTACTATTGCTAAGTGTCACATTTAATATACATTCTTTAAATTCCGTATTATGTAGGGTAAGTGCGGCTTTTGCATGCTCCTGTAAACCATTATTAATGAAAAAATCGGGAATAGAACCAACCAATTAAAAAAGAGACACAAAACCAACCTCGCTGTCAAATTCAACAAATGCTAGTCCTTTACATTTCTTATCCTTAGTTGTAGGAATTCTAACATCAATAACAGGTCCATACTATAATATGAAATTATAAATATTTGTATCTAGTGCCATCATAATAAACGGGAAAAAACAAGAAATCAATGAGATGTTTAACAGTTGTGCAAAGTGTTTCCAATTCACTTTTTTCAACATGGCTAGGAAGATTTCTGATATAAATCTCGTTTTGTCTACATAAATAAAATGTATTAAAATAAATATCAATTTAATTACGAAAACATTAATTTCCTTACTTTGGTGGAGATCGTGTTTTCCTTAATGAAGGATTAGAAATCACCACATTTAATTTCTTTCCTGCTTCAATCTCAAAACCATTCATTTCTAAAGCGGATAAAGCGGATTCCTAATTTAAATCAATATATATATATATGTATATATTAAAAACTTCTCAAAATATACATCGAAAATGGTTTATGTTAGATGTTTACCCGACTTTCGTACTCAATATAGCAAAATCTTCCTGCTCTGAGGCTTTTGCTTGGATAACGAATGCTAATTATTTTTCCATACTAAGTAAAAAATTTGTTTAGTACATTACGTTTAATTTATAAAAAAACATACGTTCATTCATAAATTTTAAATACCTTATCAAACATTTCTTTAAGATCGACTGTCTCTGGAAAATTTGTGATGAATAGTGTATGTTCTGAAATTTTATACACGTTAATTTCATTATTTCCGACCTTCTTCTTATCTTTTGTTAACGCAGCAAGCACATCATCCTACACAAACATTTGTACAATTATTATACATGTTTAAACCTATGCCAATCAATAATTATTTATTTACCCTGTTTGCGAATTCTATATGCGCAGATTTTTGTGCTTTTTCATTATCTTCAATTATATGAATATCAACGATTTTTCCGCACTATATAAACGACAGAAAATCAACACAAGTATTATCAAAGGAAAACAATAATCAAACATACCTCATTGAAAAGAGTTTTCAACTGACTCTCTGTAGCATCTAATGGAAGATTGCTGGCAACAACTGTAGTAAACTCGCGATCACTATATGATATAGTAATGAGATTTGAGTCAATTGGAATAATGTGATTACAACTACGTTCAACTGACCGCTTTGGTTTTTCAGGATGCTGTGCTAAAGTTATGAAAATAAAAGATTAATTAAAATTGTTACAAATAAACACACATATGTTCGAATAAAAACAGTCGATGAACCTTTATTTCTTTTGTAAGCTGGTGAGCCTTCTAGTTGTGGCTCATCCTCTTCGGGCTTTCTTTTTTTTGGCTCATTACCTGATTCTGAAATCTCAGGCTGCGATACTTTGAATGACTGAGAAGCTTCAGAGTGCCTAACGGCTTGTGTATCATTAAAGGCTGTTGATACCTGTAGTTCTTGTTCAGACCCAGTATTTTGAACCTCCAGTGATGCATTCTAATAACAATAAATGAAAGTTACAATACACTTTTAAAGATCAGAAATAAAGCATCAATATGCATATTTCTTACTTTCGCACGCCTATGTGCAACAACTTTCATTTGTTTTCTGATGAACATAAGTGCTTGTTCTAAACTATCCAATGTTCCATACTGGTGCTCAAATTGTTCCCATGCATCAAATATACGTTCTGGCCAATCAAGATTTTGTTGAGATGCTCTTTTGAATTTTTTGTGAATTTCATCATGATTTCCCATAAATCTAAGTATGGAACGATTGTACATCTAATTTTTTTGACTTATCAATATTTTATGCCCAAAAATTTGAAAGCACGCACCTTTCCCACTCAATATAACGTATCCACGTTTCAGACTCTTTGCCATGAGTTTTAATAATATTTTCCCAAATCTCTCTTGCTTTTGTAAGATTTTTATTCAATGTCTATAGAAAATACATTTGAGAAACGTATAAAAATAATCCATAAAATTTCATATTCAACTTAATCATTTTACCTCAATTTCTATCCAATATCTTTCTAAACGATAATTTGGGTCCCCGTTTGGAAAGACTTGTATGAAAATTCATATTAAAATATGTCAAATAAATAAATAATATATATATATAAATATGGCCTATAATACTAACATTGTTTGACTGTTTGAAGACTTTCTTGTATAGTATTTATAAGATTCAATGTATTTTCTGAATTCAATGGTGTCTTTATTCTTCTCCTTTCAAAATCACAATGAGCCAATAAAACTTTTACTAGTTCATCTAAATTGTTATTAAGCATTTCAGTGGAGAGGGCCTTGCGAATTATATTTTTCATTTCATCATATGAATCATAATCTTTTTCTAAAACTCGAATGTAATGACCCCAAAGATCACCAGACCATGGACAATTCCGAACACTACGCTCAGCAACGATAAGAACCATATTATTTGGAAATTTTTTTTCAATTAATTGGAAAATATAATTCTCCCAGACTGATAGATCTAAATAGTGATAAACTATGGCCCTTTCATATAAAGTGCGGACAGCCTGCCAGTTAGGAGCTGACTGTTTTTTCTCAAACTCAATATATTCCATATATTTATCTAGCTCATGTCCAGATGCAACCTGAAAAAAAAAATTTATAGTGAGAAATCACGCGCATTAAAAAGACCTTTATAAACACATACCAGTGCTTGTTCATAATGATCTCTTTCATAATATTTTCTTTTTGCTTGACTAAAGGAAACGTTGGCGTCGACCATATGTTTTTCATAATTTAGATTGTCATATTTGGTAATAAACGACGAATAATCAGAAAAGGTTTTTTCTACGGCTTTAAACCCAAATAATTTTAATAATGTGTTTGATCAAAAATAATATGAATGATTTTAAGTACAAGACACATACTCGCATGAGGAACCTTGAGCCTATCCAAATACATTTTTTGCACTCTTTTTTTTTGCTCGTCATCACTAATAAAATGCCTTGAGAATTTGTTTCATAAAAAAAGAAAAAAAAAACGGTTTAAACACTGTTACATATATACCGAGGTGAAGTCTATAACAAAAGAAAAAAAAGCGCGTATATATTAAAAAATGGCAAAAATAATTTCAGACTTTATAAAGTAATTTCTAACCTCTAAAATTTGTTCTTCGAATTCTTTACAAATATCCCACACGATATGGCTCTAACAAGTTAATTAAATAAGTGACAATTTTAATTAAAAAAGGCCCCAACCTGCTTGTACACCATTCATTAATGGGCCATACCTCCGGAACAAAATTACCAGTTTTTTTAATTGCTTCTGTGAACACTGAGCGGATCTGATCTAGTGAAACAACTTCACCAGAATTGTCACCAGTTTCGTCCATTTCCTCTATGGAACCTTTATACTCTTGAATCATATAATTTATATATTCTTTCCAAGTTTCAATTGCTATTGAAAAAATTATTAATATGAATTAATTGTTATATTAAATGGATCACGGAAAAATCGAATCAAAAAAAAAAAAAACCAATGAAATACATAGATAATCTTTGACAGCTTCAGAATAAAGCTGAATCACTCTTTTCTTTTCCTCTTTTGTAGAGGCTGAACGTGATTCATTCTGGATCCATTCGAGCCACGTATCCATTGTTTTCAAGCGTCTTGGTCAATTTGTTGGAAGTAAATTTTTGATCATTAAAAAATAGTTTAACGAACTAAATTTAGCTAATTCTGATTGGTCAATCATTATCGCAGATCATAATGAGAAGTTCCTCTAAAACCCACTTATACTTATTGTAACGGAACCTTAGTTGTTAGTGTCTACGCAAAAAGATACGAAAATTACGTTTCTAATGTGCTAACAAAAAAAATGCACATACGTATAATGGGGGCCCCACAGCAGGCCAAAAAAATTTTTTTCTGTAGTTTTTTAATATTATGTTCTAAATAATCTAATTTTTGCAAAAATAAAAAAAAATTGGTTTGGCCCATCATCTTTTGCTGTAAAGCCCCCCATATGTAATATTCTCCGGACCCATAATGCTATGCATTTTCCTAGTAAGGATCAAATCTGGGTTATCGTTATTATAAGGCTTATATATAACTTGTTTGTAAGACGGGTTGTATAAAAAAAATTAACTACATACGTAGGATAGATTAGTGGAGCAACCAAAATTTCTTCCCAAATCACCCAAAATTTTTTACTAATAAAATGGTACCCCACTTAACTAACTCATACAGGGGGATCCCCAAAATTCCGGGTCGAAACCATCGTTTTATCCCGGCATTTAGTTAGCATTTAGTAATACAAGTTAACTATTTCTGGGCCAAAATTATCAGCTGGGCAGCTTTACTTA